CTCGTTAAACGCAAGCGCTAGCGACGCAACGACTCGCTCGAGTCGCTCGATTCCGGCGGCTCCGCCGCGTCGTGATGCAGGTGGCGCTAGCGATGCGACGACGACTTCATGGCCCGCGAGCGCGGCGGCCAGACGAAAGCAGCGCTGCGCCGCGATATTTCAGACGAGCGGTGACGACAACTCAGAAGGATTTTCATCTCGCCTGCGCTCGTCCCGGATTGATATCCTGCCGGAGATTTCGCTATTCTGTTGCTATGGCGTCTCTCCTTCGGTTTCTTCTAATGTGATCAGTCTCCTTCCTCTCCGCAGTTATTCTCTACACCACCACGTGGCGCCCCCTAGTCCCCTCGTCACACTGTCCGAGTGCTCCGAGCTTTCGCTTGGCATATATTGGCGTGTAGCACGCAGGAATCGAAGCCAGGTGGCGCCACCGTATTACTTCAGTGAGGCTATAGTATCAAGATTCCACAATAGAGAATAAGTTTAAATAGATTTATTCACATATTAATATAATAAATTCAAGTTGAAAACTGCGCAAGCACGCTATAAAACAGCGTCATATACTCGTCTCTATTATCGACTCCTGATAGTGTTTCGTATATGCATTTGTTCGGTACGCGGTCGTTTCGCGAGGGATATACATTTTGGCATTATGTGCTGCAGCGGTGGTGAAACGTTCACACGTACCTACAGGTGTTACGGTTTAGAAATCACTCGGTTTCGCACTGCGGCATGTAAACGTGATGGCGTCTATTTAGTATTAGATGTGCGTGTGCTCACACATTGCAGATAGTGGTGTGTTCGCGATTTATCCCACGAGGCAGGGAGAAATTAAGTGTCAAGTATAGATTGGTACCTCAAGCCTAATTTTTGCAAATGTGGCGGTACGCCCTTTTAGATCTACAGGGGTCTTCTTCACGATATTATATATATTATATACTCTCACTACACGCGTTTTCTAACAGTAGAGGGCGTCCATATATATGCAGCAAGCCTGAATGGGCATCACACAGAAAATAATTAAAAATACAAAATACAGTTGCTAACATTAACACGTAACATGCATTTTATTCATGCAAATTAAAATTACTGCACATTAACAGTACAATCTTCACTCGAAACTTTTGCCAGCTCTATGATGCGAATTCCCACCATTTCCACCAACAGATGACGAAATTTGCCACAAAAGTGCAGCGTTGAACAATCTGCGAAGGGTTACTGTTGTATGACCCCTTAAAGGGAATGTCCCGTTACAAATTGATATAAAATTTTACCACAATGTAGAGAAGGGAATGGCCATGTGAATCAAAAATTTCAGACAATAACAGAATAGAAGCTAAACAGTATACATTAGAATAAAGGTCTCGCTTCGCACGTGCATGCTGTTGCCAACGGCAGGCAGCCTCGCCTATGCTGCGCAGGTGCAATGAACATGGCACTCAGTGGCTTGCTCTATCAAAGTGAACTCGATCTATTACGATTGTCTACAACGATGCCCTTACGAAAATAATCTATAGGTTCCTATAGGAGTCTATAGAGACCTATAGAGCTTCTATAGGTGCTTTATAAGTTTTGACAACCTATACACCTATAGGCTTATATAGACCTATAGATTCCTATAGACCAGTATTGGCTTATAGACCTATAGGGATTCCTATAGACGGGTACATGCAGTTATATATATAGAACAACAGACCGAATATATATATATATATAAAGGAAGTACAGGTCTCTTAAAAAATATACGATTCGTACGGCAGGCCTTAACACATAACGTTTTCACAAAGTTGCTGGAATGTTGTAGTTTAATTGCATGACTGAGAAACAAATGCCTCGAATTAATTAATCCTTCTTTCAGCGAGGACGTGTGGCCTGGAGCCTCGGAAGGAAGGATACATTGGACGTGGCACCAACTGGGAAACGTCTGAAGAAAGCCACGCGAAGCGAAGCAGAGCTGCTATGGCAGGAAGGGCCGCTTACTCTGAGACCAACTCCCAGGTCGAGATACGGCAGAACAAGGCAGTTCCCGCCTAGAGATTTTCAGAGTAATGCCTTTTAAATGGGTGACAAATATGCTGTATCACTTTTTAGAAATCAAAATAGAATGTGAGCAAAGGTTATATCATAAATCATACCAATAAATATTACACTGTTAAATAAAGAATCGTGAAATTGCGGAAACTTTAGGGCACAGGGGGGCATGTGGGAGTACGCTTTTGGGCCCCCACTACAGAAAATTTTCTGCGTACGGCCCTTGCCAACACACCTCTAAGATCCACCCAGTGCTTGTGAGACTTGGGCTGCGCGGATAGCTCAGGCAGAAGACTGCAGTGCGTATATAATGCTGCGTTGCTCATTGCCGTCGATTGACGCTTGTGATGGTGCAGGAAGTCGTGCGAGGTGAGTACAGTGCCTGATGACAGTGTTGTCAGCTGTACGCCAATTTGCCGATTCTCATCCTGCAATACACAAAAAAGCCACCTAATTGTTACACATGCGCATATATATTCACATTTTTCCAAATCCGCTTTTTTCGATTATGTTTTGCAAAAATAACTTTTGCTGCTCACCGAGTTAGCAGCAAGCAGCTTAGCGCAATGAAAATAATAAAAAATTCAAAAACACAATAACTACGCACTGTAACTATATATAATACGCTGTATAAACGCAAAATACTGCACATTAACTGTACAACTTTTGCCAGCTCTATGATGCGAATTGCCACCATTTCCATCAACTAATGACAAAATTTACCACAAAAAAATTGATTAAACTGCTGTTTTGCACACGAGAAATAATGCAACGTTGAACAATCTGCGAAGGGTTACTGTTGCCGCATTACAGATTGATATAAATTTTTACTACAATGTAGAGGAGGGATTGGCCAATGCATGTGAATACAAAATTTCAGACAATTTCAGACTAGAAGCTGAACAGTATACATTAGAACAAAGGCCTCAATTCGCATGTGCTTGCTGTTACCAAGGGCAGGCAGCCTATCATTTTACAATTATTTTTTGCTCTCCTGCATTCTGCAGGGTCTCCAACCCTTTGAACTCCAAATGCGGAATGTTCCCGCAGTAATCAGTAACTATAGTGGCGTATTCAGAAACTGATGGTGGGTGGGCGAAATGTACCTTGGCTGCCGCAGGCAGGCCCACGTGCCGTAGGCATGCCAGTGCTAGGGGGGTCTGGGTGCATGCCCCACCAAATTTTTTTTAAATATTTAAGCCATTTTCCTGCAATCTGAGGCATACTGTGGGCCATATTCTCATGTCTGATAACACTATCTCAACCCTATAGACTCAACCCTACAACCCTTGTCTGATTAGCATACAAGCTACGCGACACCTTGCAGACAGCGCTTGTCTGACTAGGCTGTTCCATTTACCGTAGACATGCCAGATGATACAAAATGCCAAAAAAAAAACAATGTGTCCAAGCAAACAATGCGAACAATCAGTGCAAATTTTGTACAGTGCAAGTGAAATGAGGAATATAACCTTGCCGCTGCA